CGAGGCTATCTATTTCTGGCCACGCATGCGGGACGACATCGAGTGCTATGTGCAGACTTGTCTTGTGTGCCAACAAGACAAAGTAGAACAAAGGCATCCGGGAGGACTATTGGAGCCACTACCCGTAGCAGAACGTCCATGGGAGAGTGTAACTATGGACTTCATCACTTCACTACCTAAGTCCGACGGGTATGGAACTATTATGGTCGTGGTGGACAGGTTCTCGAAGTATGCCACCTTTATACCCGCCACAGCCGGATGCACTGCAAAGGAGGCCGCTCGATTGTTCTTCAAGAAAGTAGTGAAATATTGGGGGTTGCCAAGACACATCATTAGCGACAGAGACCCCCGCTTTACTGGGAACTTTTGGAAGGAGCTGTTCGAGATACTTGGCACTAAACTTCACTTCTCCACAAGTTTCCACCCACAGACAGACGGCCAGACAGAACGTGTTAACGCCCTGTTGGAGTGCTACTTAAGGCACTATGTCAGTGCGCATCAGAAGGATTGGGCCAGACTCCTAGACATGGCGCAGTTTTCATATAATTTGCAAAGGAGTGAGTCCACCGGGCGCACGCCGTTCGAGCTGGCGACGGGCCAACAGCCCCAAACTCCACATTCTTTACCAGCCGTTTTTGAAGGGAAGAGTTTGGGAGCTTACCATCTTGCCAAAGGATGGGAAGAGCAGCTTGACACTGCCAAGTCCTACTTGGACAAGGCAGCAAGCAAGATGAAGAAGTTTGCCGACCGCAGACGACGTCCCACGGACTATAAGGAAGGCGACATGGTCTTAGTGAAATTCAATCCAAGACAGTTCAAGGCACTAAGGGGCGTCCATCAAAACTTAGTGCGAAAATATGAGGGGCCGTTCAGGATCATTGCCAAGGTAGGCAAGATCTCATACAAGGTGGAGTTACCTCCACACTTCAAAATCCACCCGGTGTTTCATGCAAGCGTCCTCAAGCCTTACCATGAGGACAAGGAAGACCCTAGCCGGAACCAACCCCGCCGGGCCCCCATTACTGTCACTGCCTCGCACGACTGGGAGATTGAAGCTATCATAGACTATCAAGCCAAACGAAAGCGGGGACAGCAAGCCAGCGCCATGTTCCTTGTACATTGGAAGGGACAATCTCCGGAGGAGGCCACATGGGAGAGATATGAAGACTTGTGGCAATTTAAGGACCAAGTCCGGGATTTTCTGCAGCAATGCGCCGCGGTCGTCGCATCATCGGGTGGGGGAGCGTGTCATGTCCCGCCACTATCGGAGCCAAATTTTGCAACAAAGAAGGCGTAGAGGTTTCTAGAGTCAAGTAGAGAACTCTAGAATGCCTTAGAAATTTCAAGAAGGCCTTGGAGACTTCTAGGCTATGTAGAATTCTCTAGAAAAGGGGTCAATGTGTAAATACTCTAGGGACTTATCATGTAAATATTAATTGCACTTTAGTCCTTAGGAAGTAGTATAAATAGAGGTGCCACTCATTTGCAAAGGCATCACTCATTTGCAAAGCATTCTCCAAAGCAATACAAAAGCCTTCTTCCAAAAACTCTCTCTTTCTTCTTTCTAAGTCTTTCCTTAAGCATTCTCTTAGCGATCTAAGTCTTAAAGGCTTCCTTGAGTTTACAAGATCTTGAAAGAGTAGTGAGTAAATTGTCAAGGGCCGCACGGAACTTTAGCCAATACTCTAAGTCCGTGACACTGGTCTTCCTGATCATACCTCTAGACCTATCTTGATAGCAGACTCTTGTTCTGCAGTTTTAAGAGTCTCACTCCCAAGCCTCCATTTTTCTGCTTTGCTGAACTACAATCCATTTTACCAAGTTAAACCCCTTCTCAAGGCATCCAGTACTTTGACCACCTTTCCAGCTATAGAGAACAAAGAAATCACATAAGTTGGCATAGAATCTAGTACTGAGTTAATCAGAATGACTCTTCCTCTTAGAGAGAGAAATTGAGATTTCCATTTCCATATGGCCTGTTTTTTCTCAGACTTCTCAATTATGCCATCCCAGATTTTTATTTCTTTGTGTTTGGATCCCCAGGGCATGCCTGAATAGATTGTTGGCAAATCTTCTACTTTGCACTTCAAAATATTTGCAAGAACTTCAATCTGCTGCACCCTTCTTGACTGGGAATATACTTCTCTTCCTCCAATTAACTTTGAGAACCCGAGCAGGCTTAAAAAAGACGGTAAACAATAGTGAAATTGAACCATCTACATTTACACATAAAAATTGCAAGTTGTAGTTTTAATATGTATGCAATTTTATAAATTGTTCAAAATACAAATAATTAGAAAACCACACACACACACACACACACACATATATATATAAAGAATACATTCAATTACGATCACAAACGTCATGTGGTGATATATTTTCCTTTTTTTTTTAGTAAATGTTAAATAACTCATAATTCAAATATTATATTGATTCATATTGGATTTATTTAGCAACAAACAACTCTCTCTAAATAATGAAATTTGCAAGATAATTTATTTAAATAAATTTAGTAGTACAAACATAAAATATAAAATCAAGAAAATAAACAAAATGATTTGAGGGATACTTTGGTATTAAATCCTATGTATTACTAATACCACCAAATGGAAGGTATTAGTAATACATCCTATAATACCATGTAGGGTGCATGGATTAGTTATACATAGGCCCAAAATTCCTACCAAACATAGTACTAAATAATACCATACATAATACATAGACTATATCTCCTAATACTCCCTACCGAACGACCCCTAAGGGTATTAAGTTGCATTCTGTTGATAAGATAGGCAACAACTTGAAGGACATCCCCTAGTAGGTTTTTTGGTAGAGTCATGGTAAACATAAGAGATCTTGTCACTTCTAACACATGCCTAATTTTCCTCAGTCATATTTTGTGCACTAGCGTAGGGACAAAGTTTGATGGATTATCCCATTAAACTCTAAATAAGCACCAATTTGCCATGTATTCTATGCCATTGTCAGTTTGCAAGATTTTTATCTTAGCCTCAAATTAACTACAAATCATCTTATGAAATGACTGAAAGCAAGTATCAAAAGTGTGCTGCATAAATTGCTTAGAGATTTGGGGGTGCATAGTATTCGAAAGTTTGCCACATCTAATATATGTAACTAGTTGTCTGTACTGCTCACCTCATTTCTTTAATCGTTGAGTTTGGTGCGTATTGACACATGACAGGCTCTTCTAAAGGCTTACAAAACTACTCTTCTAGTTCCAAAGGGATTTATGTCGGAATAGCCAATGGCTCTCTAACCACTGCCTTTGGAACAGATTCGGTTGTCTGTACACCTGATAGGCTGATATTACCAATCATTCTTCATATACCGTAATTTCCTAAAAATCTATTACTCCCTATCCCAATGAATATTGCTTAGAGATTTGTGGGTGCATAGCATTTGAAAGTTATGTCCTAACAAGTGAATTATCGGAATCCCATAGACCATTATCAAATGCAGTAGGTTGGTTCTGCTCTCCATTAATATAACCAAAGCAATTTTCTAAATTTAATATAACATTGGTTTTTGTAAGAGAATTATTATCTATTGCCTTGTGTCCCCCACAGAAGAAGAAAAACCAAAGAAAATCGTTGGATAGATCAGTCTCGTCAGAAAACCAGCTCTGCTTTGATGGGACCCTAACTCTGGTTATCAGAAAAATCTGAAACTTGGTGGGTAGGCTTGAAATTAACAAGAAGTAAGATAATCTCTAAAACATTCGGGAGTAGCCATTGGTGACCCCCCCTCCCTTTTTTTTGTTTTTGTTTTTGTTTTTTGCTGGGAGGGAGAAAAACTCACCTCGAAAGGCAGCAAGGACTCTGATATCATGTTGAATTTGAGTCTTCTTTGTATTTCAGTCCATCATATCATTGTATGAGAAGGGTATTTATGTAAATGAATCCTAACTAATTAAGGAAAGAAGTCAAATTCAATAAAAGAAAATATTATATTCCTGTAATTACGCTAGGAAAAGGAAAAATAAAGTTCCCTAAAGTTGTGCTAATTAATTAACACAATCAAAACTATTTTTTTCAATATTATTGTTGTGTTTACCATGCATGTTAGATATAGCAGTCACTAGATGGACTTCATCGGGCACCATTTACCTTGAACTTCTTCACAAACCAACATTAATTTGAGTTTCAGAATATGAAGGAAGAAGGCTTCTATGTGCCTGCCTCCTTTTTTAAATTGGGATAAACAATGACAGTAACATGGCAGTATTAAATGTTACAAGTTGTAATATTGTTAACAAATAGAAGATTTATTGATATTGATGCATGTAGGAGAAGAGGACAAAATAGTTGTCTACCCTTCAGTTGAACATACACGGGAGAAAAATATATTGGCATTGGTTTCCGACTGGATCGCGCTAGAAAGAAGCAAGATACAGTAGAAAGTCTTTCCCGTCTGTCCTTATTACCTAGTGCATTGAATTTTTTGACTAACACCTTGTCTTGTTGGATGAGATACTCTTATTCTGTCTTAGTTACTAGTGTATTGGTGAAGGAGTCCAGACTGGACAAGTTTTAGAAACTTTAGACTACAAGTTGTGGTGGAAAACATGGTGAAACCAATTGAGACTTATTTCAACAGAAATAACTCTATTTTCTCTTCCATGCATCTACTCAGAAAGAAATCCTTCCATTTCTGTGTGCAGAGGGGCCTCATTCCAGTTCTCTTTCTTATCCTTTTTATGCTGTAACAAATACCACTATAAGCTTGATTAGATGAGCACTGCATTCTCCTTTTCTTGAAGGGAGAAAGTGTACGTGAAATTGCAATTTTACACTGCACTGCTATTGTTGTTTCTCTTTATGAAGGAAACAAGGTTATTTTCAGTCATTACAAAACACTTTTGTGTGCTGGTTTATGTTTTGGTTATATTATGGAGCTGTTTTCCAGAAGAGATAGCTTGCTTGATTCTCTTTCCAACTATGTGACACCTTATGTTGTAACACTGGCTTCACTTGCAGGGACCTTTACGTAAAGTAAGTCATGGTGTTGAAGATGACTCAGTTCATCCTCCAGTTTGTGAAGGGCGTGCTGTCAGTTTTCTTTATGATTTAGTTAGCAAAGATTCTATCCTAGTAACTGCTTGGAGTAGGGGGCAGTTGCAGATAGATGCTTTAGCTGATGAAGTACAGCCTGTCTGGAAGGTTGGTAGTCCACCTCGGGTATGTCTGGATTCAACTGATAGTATAGTTGGCCTTGCAATGATTTGTGAGTCATTGTCAAGTGACACCTCCATTTTGAAGCTTGATCTGCCACCAGATCATACTTTATGGTTGGGGCATCCACCTCCTCTTTTGAGGTTGGCTATTGTAGATTTAGCTCTGCCCAGAAGAAGCAGTTCTGTTTTATCAATGTTTGTTGATCCCATTATTTCAGAAAGAATATATTGCCTTCATGAAGGAGGAGTTGATTCAGTAGTGTTGCACTTTTTGCCTTTCACTAATCAGACTCGTGGCAAAGAAGACATGATGAGAAGTCCCTCTGTGCATCCTGTTCTTAGCACTTTCCAAGGAGAAGCATCCTCAGCCATCCCACTTTCTGGTTTCTTGGCTCTATCAGATTCTTTTGGAGATTCATGGATTGTGGGTCTTACCCCTTCTAATGAGTGTATAGTGGTTGAGATGGAGACTTGGAATACACTTCTTCCCCCAATTATTGATAAGGTTAACAAACTCATAGGTGCAGAAGTGCCAAAAGATACAGATTCTACTATCATAAGCAAAGAGCTCCTTACTGGACCCGGGGTAGTTCTTTTGCCCCCTTCATCACCTCATTTGCGCTCAGTTGCTGCGGATTCAATTGAAGGCCGATCAACCCTTCATCAATATTTCAAGCTTTTTCATGAAAACTATGTGGAATATGCCCACAAGGTAACATTCTGCTGTTCGTACGCTATAATTCTGATTTGAGATGTGACTTTTTCCTGTTGGGCTCTCTTTTTTTTGTTAGATATAGTCTTATAATCTATAAGTCTTCATAAATCCCCCTCGGAGGGGACAAGGGGTGTGCCTTATTTTATCTGCTAGTGAAAGTTTTGGTGGCAATATTCTTTTATGACATACTCCCTCCGTCCCATTTTATATGAGGTAGTTTGACTTCGCACGGAGTTTAAGAAAGAAACAAAGACTTTTAAAACTTGTGGTCTAAAATGAATGATAGAAATTTATGTGGCTAAAAATCATTTCATTAAGGGTAAAATAGACATTTTAAAGTTAAATTATAACTTAATATAGAAATGTGTCATTCTTTTTGGGATCAACTAAAAAGGAAATTAAGTCACATAAATTGACAGAGGGAGTAATGCTTTCTATCATTTTTAAAATTGTTTAACCATGTACCTCCTGTAACATGTCTGGTCCAAAATTTCTCTAAAATTATCCATTTCTTTTCATACATTGGAGTGGCTTTTTGTAGTTGAACTGCCATATCTACCATGTATTTCGTAGTTCTAGAATGTTCATCATGCTATATTTTTTTCAGTTACGGGAAGAGTAGAGAAAGAAATTCCTCTCTAGATTTCTGGCAGTACACCGTTTCCAACCAACTTTAGTCCCAAAAAACATCTTTAAATCCACCACCTCACGTCAATCCACACCTTTTAACATCCTTTTTAGCAACTTTTGTCAACTCAATTCGATCGTAGTAACATAAACTTGGTATGTGAAGATGAGACTGGAATAATACTCTAAAGGTAATAAAGCAAAGGAAAACCACCTTTGTTGCTGGATTGAAGACTTCCCAAACAATAGACCACGGGAAAGCTGTCATGGTTCAAACTCACTTGGAGTGGCAAAGATAATTTATGAGTAGGATGATGATTGATAGACAAAATCTAGAGTGGATCCGCAATGTCTTAAAACTAGCTTCTGAAGGTGTTGGTTGAGAGGATTATGATGGGAGAGTGATTCATAAACAGGAAGAGGCTTTCTCTCAAGCAGTAGTATCCGACTATCACATACAGTTGGAACAGAGCTACACCAAAACATGTCTATCAGATTGGTGGCCTTTTCCGCATCACTGAAGGATAAAAATGCTTTCCACACCTTTTGAAAAAAAGGGATTTCTGAGTTTGGATATTCCAGAACTGCCCTTTCAGATAGGCAAGAAATAGAGAAAGAAAATCGAGAAAGGGATCCCGCTGACCATTAACATAGAGGTAGGAAATTAGAGCTTCGATATTTAAATTTGGGATGGACTCACAATAGGAGCGAGAAAAAGTCCTTATACCAAAAAAGAGAGAGCGAGAAATAGCATTGTCTGAAATAGACAATGGCCCAACTCTGTTCTCTGGATGTCGTCCTATGGCCAGCTTTGGAGAAGTTGGAATTCCCAAATAAATATAGTTGTCGGAACTAAGAAAATGCTGACCTAAGGTATGCTTGCTAACTCTTAAATTTCATACCAATGGAAGCAGAGATGGACCAACCCCTTTTTGTTCCTGTGAGAAATATAGACTAGAATATTATTGAATTGTGTATCTAAATTGTTACATAAAGACCCTATTTGTAGACACTACATTAGAATCCTTTTCCAACTAAGATTCCTATTCCTATTCTAACACTCCCCATCAAGCTGGTGCATACAAATCATATGTACCTAGCTTGTTACAAATGTTACTAATACGAGGACCGGTGAAAGACTTGGTGAAGATAACTACAAGTTGATCATTTGACTTCACAAATTTTGTAACAATATCTCCTGGGAGTATCTTTTCTCTGACAAAGTGACAGTCAATCTCAATATGCTTAGTCCTTTCATGAAACACATGATTTGATGAGATATGAAGGGCAGCTTGATTATCACACACAAGTTCCATCTGATCGATTTCGCCAAAATTTAGGTCTCTCAACAACTGTTTGATCCAAACTAGCTCACAAGTTGCAGCAGCCATTGCTGGATATTCTGATTCTGCCCTAGATCGAGCAACCACACTCTGTTTCTTACTCTTCCATGACACCAAATTACCTCCTACTAAAACACAATATCTGAATGTCGAACGTCTATATTAGGGTGATCCTGCCCAATCAACGTTTTTATATCCAGTGATATGCTCATGGCCTTGATCCTCGAAGTTAGTCCTTTACCATGAGCTAACTTTATATATCGCAGAATACGAACAACTGCATCCCAATGACTATCATAAGGGAAAGTCATAAACTGACTTACAACACTCACAGGAAAAGAGATGTCAGGTCTAGGTCTAGTCACTGTGAGATAATTCAACTTTCCAACTAGCCGTCTATACCTTTTAGGATTACCAAGTGGCTCCTCCGTCCGGGAAGGAGTTTAACATTCGGATCCATAGGAGTGTCAATAGGTCTACATCCCATCATTCCTGTCTCCTCAAGAGTGTTTAGGGCATACTTGCGTTAAGAAATAACAATACCTAATCTAGACTGAACAACCTCAATATCTAGAAAATACTTCAATCTGCCAAGGTCTTTAGTTTGGAAATGCTTAAAGAGATGTTGCTTCAAATTGGTGATACCGTCTTGATCATTACAGTGATAACAATATCATTAACGTAAACAACCAAATAGATACACAGATTTGGTGCAGAATGCCAATAGAACACAAAGTGATCAGCTCCACTTCGAGTCATGCCAAACTGCTTAATTACTGTGCTGAACTTTCCAAACCAGGCCCGAGGAGACTATTTTAGACCATAGAGGGACCTACGCAATCGACATACAAAACTAGGTGGTTGCTCTATATAGACTTCTTCCTCAAGATCACAATGCAGAAAAACATTCTTAATGTCCAACTGCTAAAGAGGCCAATGCCGAAGACAACCATAGATAGAAAAAGACAGACATATGCTATTTTAGCCACACGAGCAAAAATGTAACTGTAATCTAGCCCAAATATCTGAGTATACCCTTTAGCAACAAGATGAGCTTTAAGTCGATCAACTTGACCAGCTGGACCAATTTCGACTGCATAAACCCAATGGCAACCAATAGTAGATTTACCTACAGGAAAAGAGAGCAGCTCCCAAGTACCACTCTTATGCAAAGCAGACATCTCATCAACCATAGCTTGCCTCCATCCAGAATGAGAAAATGCTTCACATGTAGTCTTAGGAATAGAAATAAAGGACAGACGATACAAAGGCATAATGGGGTGATGATAGACGATGATAACTCAAGAAAGTATAATGTGGGTTAGCATTTCGAGTGGATTGTATACCTTTTTGAAGTTCAAGCGGTTGGCTCGGAGGAGGAAAGTCCGCAGTAGGAGCAGGGTCCGATGCATGACATGAATCATCTGGGACTGGTGTTGGACGCGGACAACGATGATAAGTTAGGAGAGATGGCACTACAATGGGAGATGTAGAAGTAATCGTAGATTTCTCAAAAGTCGGTACAGGTAAAACCAGCGTTATGAAAGGCGCTCGCCTTTCGCCTTTCGCCTTTCGCCTTTGGCAACAAGGCGAGGCGAGGCGGCGAGGGGTCATCGCCTTTTTCCGGCAAGGCGAGGCGACTTCAAAAAGACGTGCCATGGCGATAGAAAGGCGTAAGATGACGTGGTGTGGCAATGCAATAGGCATCGCCTTTTTATTTTTTTATGTTTTTTAAGGTCTGACTTAATAAATAAAAGCCAAAATTAGGGTTTTTTTTGGGTATTTTTGCAAACTTGACCTTCACAAGACGCTCCTCCTCTTCTCCTCCTATTTCGCGATTGTTGCTCCTTCGTGGAGACTTCTTCTTCGCGAATCGCAATCGCGACTGCTGCTCCTTCTCAGGTACGAAATCTTATCTCTAGTTCTTCTCTTCTTCTCTACTCTCTAGTCTCTACTCAGTTTTTTTTTGGTGGAACTACTCTATTTATTTATTTTTGGGTGGAACTACTCTGTTTTTCAGTATTTAGAGTTTGAGACTATGCTTGGTTCTGTACTTCTGTGGTATCACTGGGCTGGAATCTGCCTATATTTTAAAAAATAATAATTTAATCCTTCTATAATTATTTCTTCCCTACTTAATTTAGTTTTATACTAATTAATATAGTATTTATTTGTCCATAATAGTGAATTCAATGTTGTCAGATGCTAACAAAAAGAGGGACATTGCTAATGAATGTTATTGTTATTGAGATTTAGGATATTTATATATGCAATTAAATAATTTACATTTTTTGTATTAATTGGCGCCTCAATTCAAAAAGGCGAGCGCCTCGCCACTCGCCTCGCCGCGTGGCGAGGCAGGCCCTTGTCGCCTCTCGCCATCCAAAACACTGGGTAAAACCTGAGGTATGGGTAAGACTTTAGATACATCAAGAATAATCAGAAGATGTACAGTAAGGATTAGATTCAAAGAATGTGACATTGGCGGACATAAGGTATCGATGAAGATCATGTGAATAGCAATGATACCCTTTTTGAACTTGAGAGTAACCAAGAAAAACACATTTAAGGGCACGAGGGGCCAATTTATCTTTTCCTGGGGCTAAGTTATGAATAAAACAGTGCTCCCAAAGACACTAGGGGGGATAGAGTAGATATGTGATTGAGGAAATAGTATGGAGTGTGGAACCTGATTCTGAATTGAGGATAAGGGCATTCTATTTATTAAATAACAAGATGTAAGGAGATGCCTATACTTCCTCTCTGCTACACTGTTCCGTTGAGGGGTGTATGGACAAGTAATCCGGTGAATAATGCCTCGGTGAGTCATAAACTCCTGAATTGGGAAGATAAGTATATCTAAGGCATTATCACTACGAAAAGTACGAATAGAAACACCTAGCTAATTTGTATTTTAGCAAAGAAACTTTTGAATATAGAAAATAAATCAGAACGATCTTTCATTAAGAAAACCCAAGTGCATATTGAATAATCATCAATGAAACTAAGAAAATAACGAAATCCTAAGGTTAAACCGACTCTACTAGGACCCCAAATATCATAATGAACTAATGAAAAAATATACTCTAAACGACCCTCAGTACTACGTGAAAATGCAGCACGAGTGTGTTTCCCAAGTTGACACGACTCACAATCTAATGTGGATAAACTAGACAAACTAGACACCATCTTTTGTTGCTTGGATAAACTCGAATGTCCCAAAAATTTGTGGATTAGGTCTGGAGGATCTGTAATGGAGCATGCTATGAAGGAATTTGAAGAGGTGAGATAGTAAAGGCCTTGTGATTCATGTCCTGTGCCAATCATTTGTCCCATATTGCGGTCCTGCATGAGAAAAAATTATCAAAAAATGTTATGCTACAACGTAGGGCATGTGTCAAACGTCTAATAGATGCCAGATTAAAAGGGAGAACTAGGGGCATAAAGAACAAAATCTAGAGTGACAGAAGATAGGGGTTTGGCTTTTCCAACCCTTTTTGGTTTTGTTTGGATCCCATTGGCTAAAGCGATAGGAGGAAGAGATTGTGAATAAACAATACCAGACCAAAGTGATTTGTTTCCAGAAATATGATTAGAAGCGCCTGAGTCCATTACCCATGATCCAAGCGTACTAGATTGTGAAACACAAGCAAAAGAATTACCCACAACAGAAACATTAGGTTGAGCAACCGAAGCTACTTGCGGAGGTGTTTTCTGACTTGCTCGATACTGAAGGAACTCATCATATTCTGTCTGAGTGGTAAGAGCATTATTGGATGGTTGATCAGGCTGAGGCTGAGCAACATACAGTACTTGTGGAGATATTTCGAAGGAATTCATTATATTCCTTTAGAGCAATAGGATCATAGCTGGGTGGTGGACCATGCAAAGTATAACATATGTCACGAGTGTGTCCAATTTTATGACAATAACTATACTTGGATCGAGGTTTCCCAAAACGTCCTCCTTGCCAATTGTCCATAGACTTATATGTTTGTTTTTCTATAGTTTGAGATGCGAGAATAGATGAGTCAACAATGGGTGATGAAACTACTTTGTGACTAGGAGGCACAACAAGATGAAGTAGACGAGAGAATAATTCATCAATTGTAGGAACCGTAGGACTGGCTAGAATCTGGTCACGCACATAATTATGTTCAGTAGGAAGTCCAACTAGTGTGAGAACTAGAAATAATGTCTATCTATGCTCTTGTTGCTTTTCCACGTTTGTAGTGACTGGCATCAAGGTTTCAAATTCCTCCATCACTGCCTATAACTGTCCCAAGTAAGTAGACATGTTGGATTCTTGTTTCTTTAAGTTGGTTATCCGAGATATCACATCATAGAATCGAGATATGTCATTAGTGTATAAAGCACGTGCTTTTTTCCAAACTAAATAACATGTCTGGAATGGGCAAAACAAGGTCATCAACTTTGAATCAATAGAGCGCCATAGGAGACTACATAATTGAGCATCCACTTTCTCCCATTGTGCTTTGGCTTTTGCATCCTCATCACTAGACTGTCTTTTCATCTACCACAAAAACATTGTTTGTTAAGTGATCTTGAACACCTTGACCCTTGCACCACAACTCAACTGAGGAAGCCTAAGCTAAATAGTTTGAACTTCCTATTAATGGTTCTGAAGTGACTATAGGGCTTGAACTTCCAATCCCCGTATTTTTGGTGCCAAAAACATCACAACCAAAGACATTTTTTCAAAATTTAACTCGAAAATAGTAAGAAACCTCTGGAAATTGCCGGAATCTGCCTAAAGTGCTTGGAAACTGCCTGGAAATTCTGATTTTGCCGGGAACTTGCCGGAAACTGCTTGGAAATTGCCGGAATCCTAATTCCAGCGATCGGATCTGGAGAAAACTGGATGGGTATGGATCAGAAATACTGGACCATCCCAACAGAAAAAAAAATAGTTCAAAAATAATGACCGGAGCAGCCCTCACGCGCCGGCGCGTGATCCAGATATCGCCGTAAAACTTCCACTTTCGAACGGCATGTGAGAGTGCGTGAGGGGTTGTTTTCCGGTGGTTCCGGCTGGGGTTTGGTCACCTGAGATTCCCGAGCCTCTTGATGGTGTTGGCTTTCGGACAATACCTTCAGAATGAAAGATGACACAGATCAGCCCTAACTGTCACCAAAATTTGACATGGTGACTTGAAGTTTCTCACCAATGCTCTGATATCATATGAGAAATATAGAGTAGAATATTATTGAATTGTGTATCTAAATTGTTACATAAAGACCCTATTTATAGACACTACATTAGAATCCTTTTCCAACAAGGATTCCTATTCCTATTCCTATTCCTATTCTAACAGTTCTTAACATAATGACGGAAATAGCACTGATGAGCTGGAAAGATGAGTAATGGACCAGATCACAATAGAGCCACCCACTTATTTACCTCACATCTTCTGCAGATTTTCAATTTCTTCTACTTCTGGTTATTGATTCAATGGAATTCAGTTGCGCAATTTGATTGATTTAAAACATTATTCTGCAAATAGTCTTCTGTTCCTAAATGACACAAGCAGACCATCTTGTGGCCTGGATGGGGTTCTTTACGTAGATGATCAGATGCATCTGTTGGATGCTACTTCATTTCTGTGGAGCATGTTGCATAGATATTTCTATATGCCTTGTAAATGGAGTTCCCACCCCTCCATTTCATAATATGCAATTTAATTATTAAAAAAGATTGAGTGGAAGCCATTTTTATATAAATTGTTAGCAGTTTTCTTGTAATGATGGTGTTGTTAGTTCCCCTATCATCTGAGGATGTATTTCAAATTTCAACTGTGCATTGCTTTGGACGGAAGAAGAATTTAATCCTTTGGTTCTATGCCCTCTTCCTCCTCATTTCTCACTTGGGTCAGAATCAAAAGAAAATCTTTATTTTTCTTTCTTTTATCAGTTCTTTTGACAGTACAGCGGTCTCTTCATGTTATAACTAACGGTACTTTTGTTCTGTTATCAGGTGTACTTTGAGCTTCAACATCATGCACCTCATGTAAAAAAGATCCTCGATGATCAGCATTCTCGATTATGTAAAGCACAGCAAAAGATTTTGGAAGTTGAAAGGAAACAGGAAAACATCGAGGATCGTGTTGAGCATGCAGTTCAGTTTCACGGTGAGCTAGAAGAGTGCTTGCAAAGCCTGAGACACCTGCCGGCAGCACATAAGAGATCTCTATCTAAAGCTGAACGCGAGTTTAAGTCTGAACTTGGTAATATGCTCATCGAATGCCAATGTTTGATGTAGTTTTATTTTGGTTTGTTGTGAACGCTAGCTCATCATGGTGTAGAAACTGATATAATGCACGTACATATGTCTAGTCTTTTGCATTTTTCCAACAGACTATTTTCACCACCTCTCTGGATGCTCTAGAACCAACCCCTAATGGAGACTGGCCTGTAAGCCCTAACAATGGCCAATGAGTTATTTGTATGTCTCTGATAGTTCCACCAAATTTCTTGTTTACACACCTTACGAGGGGCTTCAGGGTGGGGGTTCCCTTTACCCACCTTAATTTGAAAATTCCTTAGCTAATACCCAACGATTTGGAAACATGAGAGACGTATGTTTCCAACTCTTTGATCGTGTTAAGAGCCTCAAATTTTAAAAAATAAACTGAGGCAGAATCAACTGTCCAGATCAATTCAAATGATCCAACAGTCTTTATCTTTTTTATTCTATGATTTTTCTCTCCTTTTTTGAGTTTTTCATTCCCAGCACCTCCTCCTTCTCCACCTCCATCAAAACCACCACCGCCACCACTGGCAACACCCTTTGTTCTCGACCACCACACTGCTTTCAAGACCTCAACAATCCCACCTCAAACCAGTCTAGTGGAGTTACTGGGGTCAGAGATGTTTGGCGGCATTTATGGTGGTCATGTCTTTTTTCTTTTGTGTCGAGCTGATGCCAGATTGGTGGGTAGAGAGAGAAAATGTGAGTTGAGTAAAGAGAACATTGAGTTTGTGGGGGATGGGGGTGGATTAAGGGGGGTGGTTAAAGTTGAAAATCGGTGGTCGTGTGAGGAGCTGTATAGATTTTTTTAATGGCTGAATGGGATTTTTTGCTAGAATTGAGGGTGTACAGACAGATTGCGACTGGTGTTTTTCTTTTTCTTGTGGGTGGAGTCTGAAAGGAAGCGAGTGTTCTTATGTTGAAACAAATGGGGCGGGTGGTCCGTAATGATGGTCAAATAGTGTCTCACTGTATGAGTGACGTGTAATACTCATCCTGAGATAAAGTGGTCTGACGGGGGTGTTAGCTACATAATTTTGTTTATTAGGATAGTAAAAGGAATCTTATTCTTTTAGGGTTTAAACAGGAAAAAGGTGTAAGCTTGGGTGGAAAAGTATGTATTGAGTATTAATTTTTCTTCTGGCTTTAATCTTTGCGTATGGAACTGAACATTATGTTTTTACATAACACAGACAGATTTAGGGGAGTGGAGTTGGATGCTCTACGCTCTTCTATTGAAGCAGTAAATGCCAGGTTGAAAAGATACACACATTCTCTACAGGCCAACCGATCAAATGAAGAGCGACAAGTATCAGTGAGGAGAACAAGGCATGTCGAAGAAAATGAAATGTCACTGCTTAAAGCATCACTTGAAAAGCTGTCAGTCGTGAACAGTGAAAATGCAAAGAAGGTTAAAGTAGTTGAATCGGCGCTGAAAGGCCGTGAAATAGGCACTTGATGATCGTATGTTGATATTTGCTTGTGATGCACAAGTCAAAAGTTGTTGATACCCAACTTGATTGCCTTTGTGACTAGTAAGTGTGTTATTGCCAAAATTATATCATTCTCTTAACTGAAATTACGAGTCGAAGTAGGTTACTGGTGCAAAAGCAATTTGTATATGCAGACATCAATGACATGAGCATTGAAAGTAGCTTTAGGCCTTTTATTAATTTCCCCCAGATTATTCGTTTTTTATTTAAACCTAAGCACACCGTTTTAGGTTGATTTTTCATACATTTTATGCAGTTTTGAATTTGAACTAAAAAAACCTCCATGAACTGGTCTGTAATCATCAACCACACTAAAAGCAAGTTTTGCAGAAAAAATACTAATAGAAAACCGTTATATTTATACATTTTTGATATATTTGTCCATGCACAAACTATAGTGAATTTGTCTAAAAGATAATAAGATAACAATTTTTAAACCCTCTCTTTCTCCCTATCTCTATCTATCTATAAGTATGTCATTAGTGAGTAAACTTTCAACTAAATATGACTTTGATATTTTGAAGATTTATGACAATCAGAAATTCATATAAAATATAAAATAAAGAGGAAATATAGAAAGAACATACGGAAAAAAAAAGTTAATAATGCAACATCATTTTTATGATCATCATTAAAAAATAAAAGGAAAAAAAATATGAAATTAATGAACAATCTTCCGAGCTCTTGTTGACTCCACTCCCATAGACCAATCACAATTTAATAGCCTTCGTTAGGGGGTGTACATGACCGGGTTGGTTTGGGTTTTTCAATTATCAAATCAAACCATTTGTGTTGGATTTTTAAATCTATAAACCAAACCAAACCAATAACTCGGTTTTTTCGGGTTTTTTGGATTTTCAGGTTTTTCCGGTAAAATATTCATACAAACATATAATTTACTTGTACTTCAAATATGTCTTTAATCCTACCAAAATACAACTATCTAAGGTGTTTCTTAAGAAAATAACACAAAATATGATATGAGTAATGACACTAAAATATCCAACAAAAAAATAATAATAATGAAATCGCGTAAAACAAATATTGCAAATTAACAAGTCATAATGAACATGATCATAATTTAAAAGTACTAAATCATGCTAAAATAAGTTTAATAAGTATTAGTTACATGACTAAATATTAAAGGAAATTAAAATTAGATTATGTATTTGAATTGTCTAAACCAATGTAAAACCAAAGAACAAGTATTCAATATTATTGTCATTCTTAGTGTTGAATTGATTTTCTTTTTGCATTAGTATTAATTTGATTTTGATTTAAGCTTTATTATAATTGGACTATAATCTTTATTGAACCATTCAGAATTCTAAGTTTTAAACTTGAAATAATATATTAAAAGATAAAAACTATGAAAAAGTATAAGAAATATTTAAAAATTATATCAAAGTAAATATTTTTATGTATAAAATAAAATTTTAAAATTATATATATAATGTCGGGTTGGCTTTTTTTAGTTAAAACCAAACCAACCCAAATATAGTCGGGTTTTTTTTTCAATACCAAACCAAGTCAAACCAACCGCTAGTCGGGTTTTTTTCTCGATTTGCGGTTTGATTCGGTTTTCAGTTCGATTTTTTACACCCCTAGCCTTCGTCTTATTCTTCAAGTCAACTAAAATATGAATATAATAAGCATTGAATACATAACAACTTAAGAGGCTAATATAATCATTAATGTCTCTATTTTTTTTTATAGGAATATGAAATAGCAAATAATGTCATGAATATACTTATTAATTGTTTTAGGGGTTAGGATGATTACATGGATTATAATATCCAGCAAATCAGTAAAGCTGGGGATTTATCTCCACGGCACACGAATAGTTTGAAGGCAAAAAGAGGACGACCCACCATTCCTCTTCAAGTCAAAACAAGGAGTAGTAAGGGCAGATACTCAAATAGTGATCAATGATTGAGAAGGTCATCTTCTGGAACATTAGATCCGTCAACACCCAAAATGCTTTTGGGAGACTAATGGATCTAAATAGAAGACATCATTATTCATTTGTAGCTTTAATGGAACCTTTTCAGGATCCATCAGAGTTAGACCAATACAAAAGAAAGTTAGGATTCAATAATGCAGTGGCAAATTGTTCCGGTAAAATTTGGATTTTCTGGAAGGATGACTGGAAGGGCATTTTGCTTATTGATTCAATACAACACATATCTATGAAATTCTGCAAGAACAACTAGTCTTTCATTATTTCATCAGTATATGCTAGATGTAATGCATTTGATAGACTGGAACTATGGGAGGATTTAGAAGGTATTGCTGTTGATTGTCAAGTTCCTTGGATGATTGGAGGTGACTTTAATGTTGTACTTAATGAGGAGGAAAAATTTTGAGGTTTAGATTTCACTCAACAGGAAGCTACTGATTTTGCTCACTGTATTAGCAATTGTGCGTTATCTGAAGTGAAGTTTTCTGGGAGTAAATATACGTGGTGGAATGGACGAATAGAAGAAGTTTGTATATTCAAGAGATTGGACAGAATTTTAGTGAATGCCTTATTCACAGAGGAATTTCCAGCCAGTGAAGTTCATCATTTAATCAGACAGGGTTCTGATCATGCCCCTCTTCATGTGAATTGTGATACAAAAGAGGAACCTGTTGTCAAACCATTTCGATTTCAGAATTTTTGGACTAAACACCATCAATTCAAGGAAATTGTCCAACAACACTGGAAGATTGATTTTGTAGGTAGCCCTTTTTTGAAAGTTCATGCGAAACTGAAAAGGGTAAAGAGAGCATTAGTTGAATGGAGTAAGGATGTCTTTGGTAACATTTTTCATCAAATTGCCACCATTAAGGATATGATCAAGGTTAAGAAAGCTCAAGTGGAGATTCTCAGAACATCTGATAGTAGGGCAGAACTGAGCAGAATAGAGGCAGAATTGAGAAAATATCTCAAGATTGAAGAAGCGTACTGGAAGCAAAAGGCGGGAATGAAATGGTTTGTTGATGGGGATAGAAACACTAAATTTTTCCATTCTTATGTTAAAGGAAGAAGGAAAAAGTTACATTTATCAGAGATATGTAATGAACATGGAGAGAAGGTACAGACAAACCAGAAAATAGGGGAAGCAGCAGTTCAGTTCTTTTATGAGCAGTTTAAGGCAGAAGAGACATCGCAGGATTACACTTTGCTAAGACATATCCCCAAATTGATCACTGATGCAGAAAATGAAAAGATGATAAAACTACCAACTCAAGAGGAAACAAAAAGGGTGGTGTTTGAGCTAAATGGAGATATTGTGAGTGGGCCAGATGGCTTTTCAGGGTTGTTTTTTCAATCTTGTTGGGAAATTATAGGGGTTGATATTACCAGATTAGTGGTTGCTTTTTTTTGTGGGCAAACACTGCCAAATTTTATTACTCATACTAATCTGATATTATTACCCAAGAAGGAGGATGTTAATAATTTTTAGACCTAAGGCCAATTAGTCTAAGCTCTTTTATCAACAAGATTATATCAAGAATGGTGCATGATAGGATAGTAGAGGTGCTGCCTAAGATTATTTCTCCTACACAATCGGGATTTATCAAGGGTAGGAGTATAACTGAAAATGTGTTATTGGCACAAGAAATAATCAGAGATATTAACCGAAGGAATCATCACATTAATGTGGTGGTAAAGTTAGACATGACTAAGGCGTATGATAGAGTGTCATGGGTCTTCCTAACAAAGGTGTTGCGAAAGTTTGGTTTCTCGGAGGTAATTATAGACATGGTATGGAGACTCATCTCTAGTAACTGGTATTCAGTTCTCATTAATGGCCAACCTCATGGGTTCTTTCAGTCTTCTAGAGGTCTTAAACAAGGAGATCCTCTATCCTCAACATTATTTATCATTGCAGCAGAAGTCCTAGCTAGAGGTTTAAACAACTTGCATGATGATAGAGATTACAAAGGATATGGCATGCCAAAATGGAGTCCAGCAATAAATCATCTATCATATGCAGATGACACCATATTATTTTGCTCAGGTGACAAAACATCAGTGATCAAGATGATGAAAGTGCTTAGGGAATATGAAAAAGTTTCAGGTCAAATGGTCAATAAGGCTAAGAGTTCTTTCTATCTTCATGACAGGACCCCTTTAATTGTGGCAATCAGAATGAGAAAACTGACTGGAATAAGACAAGGAAATTTTCCTTTCACTTATTTGGGGTGCCCTGTCTTTTATGGAAGAAAGGTCAACATTTACTTTGAAGAGTTGGTTAGAAAGGTGGCAAAAAGATTTTTTTCATGGCAGAATAGACTCTTATCCTTTGGAGGTAAATATATCCTTATTAGTCATGTTCTTCAATCATTACCAGTCTATCTTTTATCTGCTATGAATCCCCCCAAGAAGGTGATTGAACAGTTGCATCAAATTTTTGCAAAATTCTTTTGGGGAAGTAATGGCAGTCTTAAAGGAAAACAGTGGGTAGTTTGGAATGAAATGTGTTTTCCTAAAGCAGAAGGAGGCTTGGGTTTTCGATCTCTACATGATGTTAATAATGTTCTGTTTGCTAAATTATGGTGGAGGTTCAGGGTGTCTACTTCTTTATGGAGTAGCTACATGGGCAATAAATATTGTAAAAGGCTACACCCTACCGTGGTTAGGAGTTCTGGATCATCTCATGTTTGGAGGAAATTATTGGAAATAAGGGAAAAGGTGGAGCATGATATTTGGTGGCAAATAAAAGCAGGGAATTCGAGCTTCTGGTTTGACAATTGGACAAAACAAGGGGCTTTATTTTTCACAGAAGGAGAAAATGCGAGAGATGAGGAAATAGAGGTGAAGGAATTCATTGAGAATGGAAGTTGGAAGATTGAAAAATTGAGAGAAAATCTTTTAGAAGAAATGGTGTTTCACATTGTGAAAAACATCAAACCTAACAATTGTGCCCTTAATGATAAGCCATGGTGGATGGGGAATTCAACAGGAGCATTTTCAGTCAAATCTGCTTATCACATATTAAGGAATAAAAGGGAATCTAGAGAAGGGATGAGCTACATTTGGATTAAAGGTCTTCCTTTTAAAATTTCTTTCTTCTTGTGGAGAGTATGGAAGAAAAGAATTGCAACCGATGACAATTTGAAGAGGATGAAAATGCATATAGTATCAAAATGTCACTGTTGCGAGAAA